TCCTGATCCCAACCACCAGCTCTGGTCCAAAATCTCTGAATGCCCAGGACCTTAGAACATCCTTTCAATGTGAAAAGCACTATACAAAAGTAATTTGTTGTTGTCTTATCACATAGCTGAGACGACTCAAAGTGCTTCACAGGATATACTGTAAAGTAGATTGACTGTATTTTGTGGGCAAAATTGAGAACTATTGAAATCAATTCTGATGTTTTATTTACACAAAACTAAATATCTCAAGAACATAACAGAGTTATCAGCATGAAATGTTTCACAATGCCTCATAGATAATTACTGTCAACTGTGTTGTATGTTTTAGTAGGCAAACGCAACTGCCATTTGCACCATCAAGGTCCCACATACAATCACAAATGTTGACCAGAACACATCCTTCTCTTTTTGAATAATGTCATGTGATCTTCAACGCTCACTTAAGAACAGACGATGTGCTTAAGTCTCATGTGCTCAACATGGGGCTTGAACCCACAACAACAATGAAAATAGTGCCTTTCAGTTCAGGTGGACATCTCAAAGCGCTTCACGCAGCAAGCTGACTGGGACACATTCTTCTACCAGAGGCAAGAGTGCTACCAGCTGAGCCAAGCAGTCAAATCACTTTCAAGCCAAATTGCATTCCAATGCATTCTATAAAAGCTGAAACTGTACTGTACCAATGTTGTGCACCAATGTAAAGTAGCTACAGATACACCAGAGTTTCAGAAAACACTGACTGGTTCCCCTATCTGACCATTGACACATCTATTGTCACTTGCTAAATTTATCAGCTTCTCTCTACTATACCAAACCCTGTATCAAGCCCTACTAATCTTCCATGTATAAAAGTTATCAAAACAACTTCACTTCCTATTTTAGCATACAGACTTAACTCAAATTCAAGAAATCATTTGATACTACTCCAAGTTGTAGGGAGAAAGATGTACTATACCAGAGGTTATCATGGTTACAGAGACTTCAGAAGGCAGAATAATGTCATTTGACTGTTTACCCACATAAATCCAGTTACAGAAATACTTTAACGTTGTGTCAATGAAAGGGATAGGGAAGAGAATAGAGCTAAGCATTGTAGCACATACTTCAAGTATTACCTGAAATTGAATACAAATGTCCAATCCTCAATGGTCACATAATAATGCACTACACTAAAGAATGCAAAAATCACAACCATCTGAACAATGAGCACTCACTCGTACCTGCAACTGCTCAGTAGAACTGCTGCTAAATTCATCTCCAGATTCAGAGTCTTGATGTTGTCTTCCTGAACTCTCAGAAGTCCATTCGTATGAGGGATCATAAAGTGAGTTTTCACCATCCATGGAATCAGAGCTCTGCGAGCGGCCTGCTCCCAAGTTCCAAGTTTGGTTTGGAACTCTTGGATACTGGGATTCACTCTCTCCAGGTCCATAGCTCTGGGTACTAGTTTTGGCACTATCTTGGACTGCAGTCTGTAAATGGAGAAGCCCTTGGTCTCGGTGATGTATCTGACTTGTATCTAAGTCTGTGGGCTGGGACTGCAATGGCCCTGTAGATGATTTAAAAGAGTTGGAATAATCTAGTGGTTTGTACGGGCTCTCAGTGGAATCCTGCAGTGGCTTGGTATCTACATTTAAAGCAGCAGATTTCATACAACTAGGTCCATGTTTCACTGGTGGCATCAAAGCCTTCCGAGGTAGCTCTTTAACATACTGTGCTGGAAGATAAAAAAGTTTTGAGGTTTCTTCCTTTTTGACCTGCCACCAATCGTTGTTTGTCTTCTTTACCAAAATATATTTTTCGCCTTGCTTTATTGAAATCTTTCGATCCTTTGCTTCGTATTCATAATCGTACTCCACTTCAATCCACATCTGTCCCGGTATGATTGGTAGGTTTGGTTTGCCATCTTTCTCAGCCATGTTGAAAGCAACTCTTAACGTTCACTCTTTGAACGTCACAGTAATCCACATGATTCGTTTCCAAGGAACAGAATGACTGAAAATGAGGAAGAAAAGACATACTAGTAAATACTGCCTCCTTACCCTGAAACTAAATGAGATTTTTGATGCGGCATTTTCATATCTCTGCTGTAAACTGAATCAATACTAAAATATTATTTTGTTCAATATATTTCCAATTATTTAAAATCAATGAAAGTACAACAATAAAATACTAAGATTATTTTGCAATCTGAAAACTACCATCTAACTTTGGATCATTAAATCGGAGCTTGACTATAGAAGGATCTTTACAGAATTAAATCAATAAATGTTATAAAAGATGTCACCACAAGGAGCCAACTCATTGGTTGCTTTATACATCACACACAGCTCAACAACATTATTAAAATTACCAGAACAGACAGAACACACAGCAGGATTAGAACAATAAAGACAACTAATTGATCAAGACACCACGAGAGAAAGCCAGATAAGAATTAGTACTCATTACAAGTCAAATCCATGAGCTGTTAAAAAACATGATCTAATAAACAAAAAATAGCAGTGTGAAGACATGATAGAAACATGAAAAAAGTGCAATTCAACCGGGCTCCTCCCCCCCCGGGCTCCTCCCCCCCCCGGGCTCCTCCCCCCCCCCCCCCCCCCCGGGCTCCTCCCCCCCCCCCTCCCCCCCCCCGGGCTCCTCCCCCCCCGGGCTCCTCCCCCCCGGGCTCCTCCCCCCCCCGGGCTCCTCCCCCCCCCCCGGGCTCCTCCCCCCCCCGGCTCCTCCCCCCCCCGGGCTCCTCCCCCCCCCGGCTCCTCCCCCCCCGGCTCCTCCCCCCCCGGGCTCCTCCCCCCCCCCCGGGCTCCTCCCCCCCGCCACGGCTCCTCCCCCCCCCCCCCCCCGGCTCCTCCCCCCCCCCCCCCCCGGCTCCTCCCCCCCCCCCTGTCTGGGCTCCTCCCCCCCCCCACCTGGGCTGCAGCTAATCCCAATGTGTGCACTCACACCCCCGCCTGCTGCTGCCTCCTCCGCTCCCCTTCTCCCCCCCGTCCCTCACTCCTCCTCTCCCCTCTTCCCCACCTCTCTGACACTCTCTCTCCCGCTTCCTCCCAGTTTCCTCACTCCTCCCCTCTTCAACCACTTCTCCACCTCTTCTCCCTCTTCCCTCCCCTCTTTCCTCACTTTTTTCCTCCTCGCCCTCCCTCACCCCTCCCCTCTTTCCTCACTTTTTTCCTCCTCGCCCTCCCTCACCCCCTCTTCTCCTTCTGCCCTCACCCCTCCACCTTCTTCCCCCACTGTATAGCCGCACTTTAGTGACCCCTGGGCCACAAATTGGCCATGGCTGGTGCAGGCGGAGAGGTTTTGGGGGAGAAGAGCGTTGCTTTGTAAACATGAAACCCGTGTACAGGTGGACATTACACATCCTGTTCGAAAAGAGAAGGGAGTTTATCCTATATCCTTGTCAACACTCATCTAAATAAAATTGGCCATTTAATCTTCTGGCTGTGAATCCAGTAACCATTTGCTTCACAATGGGAATATCTACAAAATTGGTCAGAAAAATTGGTCATTCACTGCATGGCTGTTTGTAGGTTATTGCCACTGTACTCCTGCTCCTCTACTCCCCCACCCCCAACACCACCCCACTTTCACTCGGCTGCCACACGTCTGCTGCATGTCCTTCGTCCCCTCCACTCCACAAGTGGCAGCCGTGTTTTCAGCCGCTGTGCCCCAGATCTCTGAAACTCCTCCATCCTTCTGCCTTGTCTGCTCTCTGCCTATCTGCAAATCGCACCTCATTCAGGCTACGTAGCTGTTCAGTGCTCCGAGATGCTATACCCACGTGAAGGATGCTATGTAAATGCAAATTGTTGTATTGCTGTATGCAGATTGGTTACTTGTCCATCTTGAAATACACAGTCACTACACTTTACAGAAATCCTGTCAAGCGTTTTGAAATATTTTGACAATGTGATAAGGTGTTATGCAAGGATTATTGCTGTTACAAATTTTAGTTATTGGAGTGAGGTCAATGAAGAGACTAAGGTGCCAATATAAATCCTCTGAATGACCTTCCAGTAATTTATCAGCATCACCTCATGAAGCACACACTGTTCCTTACACATATATAGCTGCAATAAATGTGTACAATATTATCCCATTTTTGGTCATTTCTTTTTCTCAACAGAACAACAAGTTCTCAAGATCCACATCAGGTGTTCGTTATTTTTCTTCAATGTCACATGAGAAATACTTGAAAATTAAACAAATTGGATTCTGTACAATGCAGAGCTCTGATTTATCAGATTGTAGTCATGACCATGCAGAACCTGCAAGTATTCTCTCTGCAGAATAATTTTAACGTTTAGATTTACTTCAGTTATTATTCTTTGCTGATAATATGTCCCATTGAGGTTTCGAAACATAGACAACTATTGTGGAACAAAATGAATAGAATAATAATAATCCTTGCTTTTGATATAGCATCTTATCACATCTCCGAGATGTCTCAAAGCGCTTCACAGAATATACTACAAAGTGAATTGATTGTATATTTTGTGGGCGAAATGGGGCAGCCATTTGCACACAGCAGTGTCCCACAAACAGTCGTGGATTGAAGTGACCAATTTATTATTATTTTTAATAGAATAGAATGATGTACAACATAACATGGATGATGTGAAATTTGAGTTCGTTAAAATAAAAGCAGCATCAACAGTTTTATTTATTACATTCTAAAAAAAGATACCCCTGAAAGCATTATAATGCATTATGGCACCCTAACTAAATTTTTGCCTTCCAAACCTGCTTTAAAACTTATCTTTTCGACCATGCTTTCGGGCAGCTTTCCCCTCCCTCTTTTCAGTCAGCCATGCAAAGTGCTTTGAGATGTCTTCCTGATGTGAAAGGTACTACATAAATAGTATTGATGGTCCTAACAATGATAATCTTTGCAATTGATACAGTGCCTTATCACGCCATTGAGACATCTCAAAGTGCTTCACAGAATATACTGTAAAATGAATTGACTGTATATTTTGTGGGCAAAATGAGGCAGCCAATTGTACACAGCAGTATCCCACAAACGGTCATGGATTGAGCGACCAAATCATTATTTTATTTATTTATTGTTATTGTTATGCAGTGAAAATATTTTCATAAAAACATGATAATGTTTTATGAAAAAGATTCATGTAACGAAAAATGACATAATTTACAGAATCCAGGAGGGATAATATATTTGAAACATCATTACAACTTGCATTTGTATATCGTGGTTCACGCAGAGAGCCCAGCACAGTGGCAAAGAGCCCAACAATATGAGGAGGGAACTGAGTGAAAATTCTGTTAAGGAATTTGGTGAGAGTGGGAATTCGGTGCAGAGGGGGAAAGAGGTGCATAATTATAAAATATATGCTGGCTGGAGAATAATAATAATCCTTGCATTTGATATAGCGCTTTTCATGTCTTCTAGACGTCTCAAAGCGCTTCACAGAATATGCTGAAAAGTGGATTGACTGTATATTTGTGGGCGAAACGCGGCAGCCAATTGCGCACAGTAGTGTCCCACAAACAGTCATGGATTGAAAATGACAAATTTATCATTGTTTTGTTTTTTGGAGGGATTATTATTAGGCTCTGTGTGGAGTAAGGAAACTTGCCCAAGGTTTCGCCCTGCCGGGAATTGAACTTGTGTCTCTCGCTTGTAAGGCAAGTGCTCTTCCCACTGAGGAGAAATGATGCAGAAAGGAGAGCTTCAGTTTCCTGGATCATTGGGACCAGTTCTGGGGCAGGTGGAACCTGTACAAGGTGGATGGGTTACACCTGAATAGGGCTGGGACCAATGTCCTCACAGAGAGGTTAACTAGTGCTGTGGGGAAGGGTTTCAACTAATTTCAAGAGGGGAAAGGAATCAGGATGTAGCATCAGAGAGGAGAATCATGTTACATAGCAGGCTGGGAGAGATGAATGACAATGTAATAAGGAGTAGTCCATAAAAAGGAGCAATTAGACAGGGAAAAGATGCAGAGCAAACTCAGTCGGTCTTGGAGTGGTTGTGTGTAAATGCAAGAAGTGTGACAAATAAGATTGGTTATCTGCGGCTCAAATTGCCACATGGGGTTATGATGTAGTGGCAATAACGGAGACTTGGCTCAAACAAGGGCAGGAATGGGAGCTGAATATTCCTGGCTACAATGTATTCAGGAGGGATAGGGAAGGAAAAAAAGGAAGGGGGTGGCAATATTGATTAAAGACATGGTTATGGCACTGGAAAGGAACTATGTGCTAGAAGGTCCAAAAACAGAATCTATTTGGTGAGCTGCAGGCTCAAGCCACAAGTAGTGGCAATAACGGAGACCTGACTCAAACAAGAGAGAGTTAGGGAAGGAAGAAAAGGAGGTGTTTGGCAATAATAATAATAATATTGATTAAAGACACGGTTACTGGAAAGGGCCGATGTGCTAGAGGGTCCAAAAACAGAATCTGTTTGGTTAGAGTTAAGGAGCAGAAAAGAAGCTGTTACTCTGTTAGGTGTATACTATAGATCACCAAGTAGTGGGAAGGTGATAGACGAGCAATTCTGCAAGCAGATTTCAGAAAGAAGCAAAACCAATAGAGTAGAGATAATGGGAGACTTCAATTATCCTAACATAGACTGGCAAAATAACAGTGTAAAGAGGAAGGATTCCTGAAATGTGTGTAGGAAAATTTTCTGTATCAGTATGTTTCTAGCCCAATGAGGAAGGAAGCAGCGTTGGATCTAATAATTTCTACATTTTTAGTTCAATCATCACATATAAGGTATGATTTTATGTAAAATACAAGAGGTTACATAGACATCACATCACCGGCAAAACATCTTGGTCAGAATCTATGCCTCACGCTATCAGATTTACACACATTTACTGGATGCGATTACACATCTGTCTTCATGAGAAAGGGAAAGGTTCATCCACTAGAGCTGGTTGAAAAAAACAGACACCTTTCTGCAAGCTTTTTGAAACCTCCACATTCAGAAAATGCTGATCAGCTTACAGAAATGTTAGAGGAGATTATGTGTACTCTGTATGGCAAGCCAAAATTTAGGAAAGTTGAGTAAGTGCGTTATGCTATTTTCAGGGAAACATATGCTCCAACAAATTAGAATGCTCCAATCAATCTCTAGAGAAGATGAAAGGTGCTGACTAGCCTTCTGCCCCCAACACATTCTTGCAGGCGAGACCCCTGGGTTCA